TCTTCAATTATTCCATATATAAAAGTATTAAGATAGTGAAATAAAAAAAATCAATGAGATTTACCAATATATAATAATATTATTATAGTGATAATATATTAATATTATATCACTATATACAATAAGAAATCAATTATCATTGGGCTATCAGTAAAAGTTGATGAAAATGATTAATGGAATAATTAACAGTTACGATAATAATTATAATCCTGTGTACATTTTTCGATTTGTATCGTATTTATATCTCTTAGCGATTTAAAAGATTTTATGCTTAGACGTATTAGCTCCTTTAATTTCGGATAAATTGCATTATTAATCCAATAGAAGCGTTACAGGTAGCAAGATTATATTTAACAATCGTTAGAATGAAGATATCAAATAATCTCTTGAAGTTTTTTGCTATTATAAATCTCTATATAAATTTCTAATGATTGAATAGTGATAATGATTCAATAGTTAAAATATTCACAAAAAGAGACAGCATTGATTACGAATGCATTTATTAATTTTTCTTTTGTTACACAATAGTCAGATATTCTGAAGCTAACTGAATCGGATCGATAGGATATGATGTTAAGACGCGAACCTTCTGTCCATCCTGAGTCATGAATTCGATCGTTTGTCCACCATCCGGTAATCCAGCCTGGTCAATATTCCCAAGTTGATTAATCGTCGCAACAGTCGTAGCATCGGTATTCTCATCCTATAAAAATTTCGTTAAAGTATTTTATTAATATTATTGAATATATATAGCTGTAGATATCATTACAATTATCGAAACTATGAAAATCAAGTATACTACCAAATCAAGATACCCTAAGAACAATATATCCAAAATGCAGACATAAGACGTCCTGAAGATGTCCTCAAGATATTTATAAAATGTCTTATATATCTTTCCTGGACATACATGAATTTTAAGATGTCCTTTGATGTCTTATAAGATGTGTCAATATTCTCTAAACTATTAATATTAACAGATTTTTAGTAGTGTAAATCGAAATTCAGTTAATATAAATTAAAATTGAAGAATATTAAAATTATTATAAGACGACTAAAAGACACAAAATAATAATAAGAATGCGGAGTCTACAATAGAAATTGTGGATAGTGGTAGGATCTTAAGTCATAGGAAACTGACCAATCATAGTCGATTATTCTCCTCATATTTAATTACGATTGGTCAATTTCCTACAAGACTCCATGATCATCCTCTATTGTAGACCGCATTAAGGGATGTCTGAAAGACGCCGTAAAGACGGCATAAAGTAAGTTCTGAGATATCTTTTATGTCGATATTCATAGTCGATTCTTATATTTGAAACTGTCTTAAGTACGATCTTAAGATATTAAGAAATTTATTTTAGATCATATATGTGAGAACAAAATCAATGCTAGAAATTAAAGGCTTATAACAGTCGAAGCTGAAGCTCTTTTAATGCTTAAAACTACAGTTTTAAGATGTCCGATTGTAAGCCAATCGGAAGAGAGAGAAAGAGAGGGCTGTATTAATATATTAAAATAGCATGTTACTTAAAACGGTCTTAAAATAAATGAATTATTAATACTATCCATAGACGTCTTTTTAAAAAATCCTAAAAAAATGTATAAGATTTTAGATCGTCTTTTAAGATATTCATAGTTCGTTCTTATTTTAAGATCATCTCAAGTAGTGTCTTAAAATGCTAATACGGCCCTCTGATTGGTTCGTGACATCTTAAGACTGTATTTAAGACGGCCTTGAATATAAAAATCGACTATGAATACCACCCTAAAATGATATTGTATAATGTAAATGATATTGTATAATGTAATGATATTGTATATAATATGTTCTCTGGTTTGAATTAGCAGAATTGCAAAATTCTATACAATTAAGTACATACAAAAATAACTATTGCAAATAACTATTGCATCGACTCTATAAAAAAAGAAAAATTTTAAATATCATTTATTTTTGGCACATTTGTAATAATGCATCCCCAAATCATCGTTCCTAATTTTATCGATTTAAGTCCTCGTATACGATGACCCGAACTCGATCGAGCATGCACGAAGACTACCGAATCATTTCTCACCAGTTTCTCATGACATCGCATGCTGAGAGAGAGGAGGAGGAGGGGATACTAACGAAATCCGGAAAAATATGATCTGATGGCGCGAAATAAAAATGGCGATCGTGGTCTAAAAAGGCCTATTCTGCAGTATTTTTCCAATTAAGCTAAAACTTTATAGAAAATATTATTACGACATATAATGATTATTTATGACGATCTTATCTTCAGGTTTTGTAGTTAAAAGTTAAAAAAAGGTAATTTCGCATGGAAGTCATGTGCCTCTTGGTAAGGGGAGGTGAAGTGGAAGTAGCTTCGCGAAAGTCGTGCCCCGAAGCAGGGGGGTGAGATAGAATCGTTTCGCATAGAAAATCGTACGCTCCGAAACAGGAAGAGAGATGGAATGAAAGTCGTTTCTCATAAAAAGTATGCTCCGAAGCAGAGAGGAAATGTGGTGGAAATCATTTCGCATGTTATCGGCTCCTAATAATCTTTTTTTTTAAATTCGTACAAAAATGTAAGATTTCGAATGCTTCACATGGCTATTTGATATGATGCATATTAACGAAATTATTTCCATTTTTTTATACGGAAAAAGATCCACTTTTTCAAGATGTTTTATAATAAAGTTTAACTGCAAAAAATTTTGTTATTAAGTGTACATGATAGAGCAATTCTTGAAGAAGAAAAATCATCCCTGTAAATTGCTGTGCGACTGCTCAAAGATGAAGAAATTAAATTTTCCGCAGACAGGTTTTTAGTGAACAAATGGCTTTTTGCAAAAATTAATGAACAGGCTTGTTCAGACTAGATTTGTTCGTCATTACGAGGGCTATATTTTACGAGAATTTCAAATTTTGCGTTTAAATCTCAATGTTTTTAATTTTTTTTTCTATTGAACTAATAGATCGATTTTAATGTTCCACGTCTCATTTTATAGTTATTTCGAATACCTACATTTTTTCATACAATCAATATCTTTCGTTTTATAAGCAAAAAACGTTTTTTGCAATGCAAGTGCTTTTTGCAATTATTCGATTTTTTTTTCGCATATTTTTTTCACAAGTTCCGAGTCTCGAACATACGCATTTCTTTTCTGATGGCCTTTTGAAACTTTCGTGAAAAGAAATGCTGATTTATAATTTTTTTCTGGTAAAATTCTACTTCTATTAAACTATTCTTGCTACTCGAGTTTATGAAGGGGAGGTACTATATAACGCGCATGAAAAATTGTAAACAATTAAATATTTCGTAAACTGTTGCGTTTTAACATGATTTATACTTTATCTAGATTAAGGGGAGGAGTACACTATTATTACAATTTATTAAAACTTACATTATTTAGGATGCCCCCCCCCGCCCCTTATTGATGCCTAGCGGATCACCAAGCGGCCGAGATTACCGAGAAAACATTTTCGGCCGCTTGAAATAAGCGACTAATGCGAGAAGGAGCTCGCTGTCTCGTTCACTGTCACGCGCCGCAGGCAAGATATGGCTAGCGCTTGTTTGTATTACAGCGTCGCATCACGATAAATGGCCGAACTTATAAGCATGGAAAAGTGACATTTTGATGATGAAATTTATGTTGCGTGCCATTTCGTTATTATTTGCTTCATTGTGAAAATGTGACTTGTCTCGTACTTATCAAAGTCGTAATCATCGATGAAAACTAAAGTTATCTTGGAATTTTATATATAAAAGGGTATATTTTATTTTCAACATCTGTCGAACTATGTGTTTCTGTCCGAATATAGGCTTTATGTGTCTTTTATGATCATCTGATTGTCAAGAAGGAAAGGACAGTTTTCATTCATTTTTATAAGTGTTTTAAAGTGATCATCATTTCGTTTCATTTAAATTGTCTTTATTTAAAAATGGCAACATAAATTAAAGTGTCATTCCTCGCTTCGATGTCACGATTACAATATGGCCGCCGTGATTAGTCAGGAACCTTAAAATAATTATCTTTTTTTACAATTATAATATCGAGAAAATTAAGTAAATTAATTAATTATCTATTATCGCCTAATTCAATCGTAAATTTTAATCTCGAATGATACTCATTAAAAACTTTCAATAATAAATCTATATTTGACGGATAAATTACAAAAAATAAATATGTCATCCACGTATCTGTAATTACAACCAACTATAAAAAGCAATTTTTTTAGCGAAGATGTTTCGAGGTCTTGTAAAACAAAATTCGGAACGATAGGTAATAATGGAAACTCTATCGAGGTGCCATAAAATTGTTTATATATTTTATTGTTAAATGTGAAAAATGTGGAATTCAAACTATTTTCAAGGCTTCAATAAATTCTGATCATGAACGTAAAACCTCGCGTAAAACTTTTTAACATAACTGTCTAGATGTTCCTTGAAATGAGAATTTTATCTAAGTAAGTTGCAAGATTATGGAGAGGACTACCAATGAATGAGATAATAATGCGTAATGGATTACCTGGTTTATAAATTTTTGGTAATCCATAAACCTTCGGTAGCGTAGGGTTAGACGAATTTAAAAAATGCATAGCGCTAAACATAAATTCTTCCACCTCTATCCTTCTACCTCTTTAATATGATTTTGAGATTATTAATTAACTTATACTACTGAATTCTTTTTCAATAGTGTATAGGTATCTGCATCCGATAACATTCCAATCTATCCCTATAATTAGATTTATCAAGAATAATAATAGTATTATCCTTATCAGCGCGAGAATAAAATATCTAGATTATTTTTAAGCAATTTTTTTGTGACTAATACAGATTCAGAAATCATATCGTCAATATTTGTATTATTTTTTATTTTCCTAATGTTAAAACTCTTACTAGTGTAAAAACATGAGAAAATTTTATTACGAAAAACTTTTCTTGTTCACAATTTTCAATTTGAATAAATTGTTGTGTTGGATAATGTGTTTTATGCATTCTAACCTCGTGTTTTCTATATTGTTAGGAAAAAGACAAAAATCCTTCATCAAGCTGTAATAATCATTAAACATCATTCGGTATATTAACATTGGAAAGATTAATAAACCACTTGTCGTTGAAAAATCAGTTGAAAAATCAAAATTATTTTTAAACTCCAAAGTCTTAAGCACTACTTTATGATTTTCCATGTCAGATATTAAATTTGGTTTCTCAAGTGAAAATCTTTTAGTTTCACCTATATTAAGTTGATTTGAGTTGTGACATAGTAAGTGATCTATGTGTCTTTTTATTATTTGTATTCTGCCTTTCTTTCAATCAATATAATTTCTTAAAAATCCTATTATAATTCTTTATTATAGTTCTTATTAAGAGCAATTTGCTATGATTTAAAAAAGTCATTATAAATATTGATAGTTGAAATAATGATAGTTCGCTTGTTGTAAATGTTACACAGATCCTAAATCTAAGAGAATTGTTTGAATGCGTCCGAAATCTGCAAATTCATGATATTGTAAATCATTTTATTTATACTGTTTCTAGTATAAACTTTAAAATTGTGATTATGAAACTTAAGATTAGAGATGTGTTTTGTATTTAAATGTTAAGAATGTAAATCTCAACATGAAGTTAATTCCAATTTAAGACTTTTACAACTACTCAAAAACTCAATCTTCAACAAATTACATGACAATTGTTTGTTCCAATTAATCCGAAT